GAAGGCGGGATGTACATGGGATATGCTCAAGGAGCTGATCCGCGAGCAGTACTACCCCACCTACTACAGAGCAGAGATGGAGCGTCAGTTCCTGTCGCTCAAACAGGGTACTCGGTCTGTAGACGAGTACGAAAGAGAGTTTACCAGACTTGCAGCTTTTGTTCCGGACCTGGTTCGTACGGAGGCACAGAGGGCACAACACTTCATTGACGGGCTATACCCAGCAGTCCGTCATAACATTGTAGGTCACGGGACCCAGACGTACGCTCGTGCAGTTTCTATTGCCCAGGAGGTGGACGCTAGCATCAAGAGGGAGACTGTCCGTGATCGTTCTCAGCCGTCCGCTCCCGCCCAGTCATCTACAGTTCCACCAGCTTTACCAGTTGCTCAGCCTACGAAGGAGAAGAAGAGGAAGGGGAAGGGTGCTCAGACCGACAGGAGGACTCGACAGAGACAGCAGAAGGTTCCACCGTGCCCGACTTGCGGACGACTTCATCGCGGAGAGTGCCACATGGGCCAGGACATTTGCTACTACTCCCACGAGCCCGGACATTTTGTTAACCGCTGTCCGAAGAGACTTCAGCAGCAGCCCCAGCAGCCTCAGCAGCCACCACAACAGCAGCAGCCCCGTCAGCAGGCTCAGAGGCCGCCTCAGCAGTAGCAGCAGAGGGGCAGACAGCAGGCCCGAGTCTACGCGATTGATCAGGTTGAAGCAGCGCAGCAGCCAGGTACTATGTCAGGGATGATCATGCTTAATAATATTCCTGTTTTCACTTTGTTCGATACTGGAGCGACGCACTCCTTTATTTCACGACGATGTCTTGATGCCGTCGGAGTTCATACCTTTACCGCTGTTGATCCTCTCGAGGTACGTTTAGCCTCAGGACGAAAGATAGTGACTTCAGCTAAAGCCTCAGATCTCAGCCTTTCCATCGGTGGTCGTTCATTGTCTGCCAACGCGTATGTTTTTTAGATGAGGGACTTCGACCTTATTCTCGGAATGGATTGGCTATCTTTTTATCATGCAGATATCAAATGTCATGACCGGGAGATTACTCTTTATCTTTCGGGAGACGAGTCGATCACTTTCTTTGGCAGCAAGAATCGTTCCTTACCTCATGTCGTTTCAATGGCGAAAGCTACCAAGTTACTGCGACGAGGCAACTGCCAGGGTTATCTGGTGAGCCTTGTCGATGATTCTCAGAAAGCACGATCACCTCACGATGTTCCAGTTGTTCGTGAGTTCGTGGACGTGTTCCTAGACGAGATTCCAGGAGGACC